AAATATAAACTGATCGAAATACCCTGGAAAATTGATGGGGGTAATTTGGTCATTTTAATTTATTGAAAGTAACTGTGTTATATTTCTATAAGGTGCGCAATATTGTTAGGTATATATATCCAAAATTTCATCTTAATCTGATTTATAAAAAGAAAATTAAAATTAAAATAGTGATATAAATTTTGAACTACACGATGAAGATCTGACGGCTGGGAGCCAGTAGTTTATACTATTCGTTATATCTAGTAGCTTAGAAAATCTCTTTCATGTATACGCTCTAAACAATTAAGATATAGCGTACTTTCGAGAAATGTGGTTTCAACATTGAAAATCTTTGTGATAGCTCTAAAATATATTTTTGTCATTAATTATAAAATTTAAAACTTCAAAAATAGTGTAGATTGAGTAGATCTATGAAAATCTTGAAAATTGATTGTCCAAAAATACGTTTCAAGATAGCTATTCCCAAAACTTAAATCACTTTTTTTCTCATGTCATGTATCTTGATGATGAGATGATCAATTTGAAGATATTTGAGCATCAAAACAACCTCTTCTAGTGATATTTTTGAGGTGGGTTTTAATTTGATTGTTTAGAGCCTCAATTCTATATAAATGTTTTCGTGAGTGTATATATATATGGCGCCTTATCTTGATGCACATAAAAAATACATTGAAAAAGGCTTTTTTGATATTGGAAAACTATCTAATTGATCACCTTGATATCGAGATGTATGGATATGGAAAAATTGATTTTGGATCCCAAAAATAGTATATCTTGCAATACATTATTTGGATCATGCATTTTCAAGGTTCTCATGTGTTTATAAATTTGCTTGATTTGAACCATTTTTAGAGTTTGAAATTTTATAATTAGAGAAAAAAATAGATTATCTTGTTATCCTAAGAATTCTCGACACCAAAATCGCATCTTATAACAAAATTTGGAGGTACCCCTTACTTTGATTGTTGAAATTAAATCAAAAGAAATATATGGTGTTATGTAGATCTCTTAGGTACTGAGCTTCTTAAAAAATAAAAAGAAAAGAAAAGTATATAATGAGATCATTTATCTTTGGTACATGGTGTTTACAATTAATCTTGACCATTAGATGTGAAATTGAGTGGCTACATTTATTGCATTGACTAAGCTCAAAGTTCAAAAGAAATTTTCTTGAATTTTATGATACTTCCAAGCTAAAATATTTTACATCGGATGGTTGTAAGTGATTGTGACCTCTTTGTATCAAAAGTAAATGATCTCTTTCTATACAAAATCCCAAAATGAAAAAGCCAAAGCTACTGCGTGTTTTCTAATGTCAATAACCTTGATGATAATCCATATTTCATGTGCGCCTTTGATATTTTAAATTTTAAATAATTAGTAACAAAATAAGAAATATGACTTTGTATTATGTTTCAGTCTTTTTTTTCGTTTTATATTTTTATTTGGGCAAGCTTTTTATGCTTCCCCTACAACATAGAAGTTCTATCTTCCCTCTTATCCAACCCTGTATTCTGAATGGAGGGTTAAGATTGTCTTAATCACAATATCACATCTCTACACTATTTTATTTTTTATTTTTTTTATAAACTATTTTGACACCAAATTTAGGACGTCCATTCCTCTATTAAACTCGCACTAGTGAAAAATATAAAAAAAATATTTTCAATAAAATAAAATGACCAAAATACCCCCTAAAAGTTTTAAGAGGTATTTTGGTCATTATATTTTATCGAAAATTTATTTTAAATATATTTTTATAGGTGCACCCCAATAAGAAGATGGCACGTACCAAATTTCATAGTCATACAATCTGTATAAAGAAAAACTAAAAATAAAAAATTTTGAGACGTTGGATCTAAGATCAAATGGTGAATGGTTCTCTTGATAAAAATTGGACGGCTGGATGGTAGGAGGAGGATAGAACTTCTATGCTGTAGAGGAAGCAAAGAAACCTTTCTTTTTTTATTTTCCTAAATTTTTTGCGGTTAATAGATTTCGGACCAATCTAATAAAGGTGCATTTGCACGGCCGATTCGTTTAGTAGATTTGTTTCTTGTATTTTTTTAACTCTTTTGTGACCGCCCAGGACTTGCTTGGTTAGAGCTGTTGAATTGGTCGGTTTGCCGGTTAAGTTAGTTGAACCGCTTTGAGGTCCATATCCGGTTAACCGTCCCGGTTCAATTATTCCAACACTGAGAAGAACAACAGCCAAGGTTGAAATTAATTTCTAGAATCTAGTGGATGAGCAGAACAAGAGCCACCCGTGGCCTTTCCCTTCATGAACTCTAGATTAGCATATTGAACTCGACACTCGCGAGGTAGGAAGGGAGGCCCATACTTATTGCACAGTAGACATAGCAGGTCTCGAAAGCTCCATATATTTTTGGGTTGCAGAACTAGCAATGAACACGGATTGAGGCTCTTTAAACACACCATTCCATGACTGTAAGCCATGCTTGCTAGCCAGCCACTATGCTGAAATCTCAGTGATCTAGGGTCACAGTGAATGAGGAGAAAGAGTTTGGGATGGAGGTGAGGTCCATTTATCTCCTCTCATCCTCA